TCCTATATCTCGCGAGCTAATCCTTAGAAGGATCGATCCGGAACGATCTTGGAAACTTTTCGATCCTTATCGAAGTATCCGATCGGTTTGCCACGGAGTCGATCGTTTCGCACGTCTATTTATTCTTATATTCCACCAAATAATAATAATAATAATAATAATATTGGTAAGAAGAGAGAAAGATAAAATATTAGATAGATATAGAATAATATGAAATATATATCACTCGTTTTCAAGTTAATGTAGAACGTATAACAAGGAAATTATCCACTCGAGAACTCTGGTAGAATGGATTGGAAGAGATCATAGTTGAAGAAAAAAAAAAAAAAAGAAAAAGAAAGAAATAGTATGAGCGAAGAAATAGGTCGAAGGGCCTAGTACGCATAAGTAGAAATAAGGGTCGGTTTCTTTTTCGGGTGAGGTTGGCAACAATGTGTTCAGTAGTGGACCCAAGACTGCTATCCTATCCGAGACACACAATGCTGAAAAATCATCCATTATCCTTAGCGCGAGTCCAAGAAACCCATAGAAGAAAAGTAGAAGGAAATATGATAAAGTATGTGTGTATATATGTGTATCTGTGTGCGCGTTTGTCTGTGAGAAAGTGAGAATGAGTCTAGGATAGGATAAAAGTGGTTGCAACTTTCAGGCCCCGACAGGACAATGGTTTACGCCCATATATCATTCCGAGGTTTTTCCTGAAAACTGTACTTCAATGAGTTTCCTTTTTAAGGGGAAAAAAAGAAAGAAAGAAAAAGAGAGAGAGAGAGAGAGAGAGAGAGGGAGAGAGAGAAAGAAAGAGAAAGGAATATGTATATATACAAAAAAAAAAAAAAAAGAAAAAAATTTTAGTCTGTTCTGTTTTTCATCCTTGTTCTTCTCTTTCAACTCAACTTTGACTTTTTCTTATTTTTCATTCTTCTTTTAACAAGCTACCAGATTTATTTTAAAACTTTCAAGAAAACGTTAAGAGTCCTAAATCTTTCGGCAGTTGATCTTCATAAATCTCGAAATAATCGTTAACGTTTGGAAATCAATATAATATGAAAAAAAAAACGAAAAAAGAAAAAGGAACAACAAAAAACAGAAAAGAAAAGAAAAGAAAAGTTAACTTTTTAAAGATTACTATTTTTTCGTAATATTAATTTTTGTATCATTCTCGTCCCCTAAAGAAAATTCCACGAAATATCAAACCGACTCGATCAAAGTCACGCGTGATCTCGATGGGACTTGTAGAAATTACGAAGAATAAGAAAAAAAAAATTATCTACCCCTCGGATTGGCTTATTTTATTATCTCTAACAGCTGACTTAGACGGTCATATACACACTCGCGATTAGGATCAACAGTTTTTTCTAATCCAGTCATTTGTACCTTATATTATTCCATTTGGAAACTAGACGGATTTCAAACGCGGATTGGGATCTTCCTAACATGCAACGCACACACGCATAAAAATATATACATACACGTATACGAGGAGTATGCACATCGCGATAGATAGAATTGGAAAAGATGAACGAAAGAGAAACGCACACATCGATGTATACTCGTAAATACACGCTTGCACGCACATACAAAGAAGAAACTCGCACAAAACTTCTACATTAACTTAAAATACTTTCGAACGGGATTTTATTCTTGGTGAACTTGTATCTCTCTCTCTTTCTATTTCTCTCTCTCTCTCTCTCTCTCTCTCTCTCTCTCTTGCTCTCTCATTCTATCTGTTCGATCCCAGCCGTAGCCAAAACGATTATAATAACTATTTTATCCGGCGCGGATCTGGGCCATTGTGCCTCCCCATTCTGAAAGTCATAACACGGTGCCTACACTGCCCTTCGGGATCCTCCACTCTTCTCGAGGGTCCCCTTGGATACGCATACCATTACGACGTCTCTCTCTCTGTCTGTCTGTATATATGTGTATGCGTGTTTCCTAGCAAAGCACCTTCGTTTCACCATACACCACTACCATGAATTTCGAGTTTCGAAGAACTCGCTTTAAACTATACTTCTGTTAAGATACTCGCATGTACGTTTTTCTATCTATGTTTATATGTGTATATATATATATATGTATGTATGTGTATGGATATATAAATGTGGATAGTAGTTACGCGTGCACGCGAGTATGCCAAAGGCAATATTTCATGGCATATTGTTGCCATCTGCACACGCACAGATCCATAGAATGGTCCATATGAATGTTAGGGATAAAGAGAGAGAGAAAGAGTAAAAGTGTATGTGCGTGCGTGTGTGTGTGTGTGAGAGTGAAAAAGATAGACGAAGTCGCACGTTTTATTTATCTGCTATTTATTTGCCAACGCTAGAGCTACCATCCCCCCTCCCCCCCTAAGTCCCTGTTGGGGACAGATTTTCAAAGTTATTAATCGTTCAGTTTTGGTTGTGGAAGAAGTGCAAGGAATAGAATGAAAAGGATTTCAAGACTATCCTTTCATACGATTCAACTTTTTTTTTATAATCCCCATTGATAGGATGATGGTTGTTGTTGGCACTATCGATAGGTATGAAGAAATCATAATCAATCTAACGATTTAACGTTTACATACACGAATACGTATTCTAAATTCAATTGATCATCAAATAAATGACGTAAGAATTCGTGGTAAAAAAAAAAAAAAAATACAGAACAAAATGTGGTAAGAAAATTTACATTGAAATTCGCAGGACCGGTGGTGTTATCAATTTTCATAAGCGTGTGGTAACGTTTGATGCGTGGAGGTGGAAAAAGTGGTGGGGAAAAAAAAAAACAAAAAATAGAAAATACAAAAAAAAGAAGAAATGAAAAACGATTCGACCGATTGAGACTTTAAGTAACAACGTTGAAAACGAGGGAACAGAAACGTGGCTATTTCGACGTTCAAGATAAGCGTCGACACCGTGCATAAAATGCTATCTATCTCTCTCTCACTCTCACTCTTACTCTCTTTCTTTCTCTTTCTCTTATTCTCTTTCTTTTTATTTCTTTTCCCTCAGTTCATAAATATTTAAAGCACCTTTCTGTATATGACGTTCAACGTTCTTGGCAGGAGCAATATGCACACTCGCATATTATGTGTGTTTGTATATATATATATATATGTGTATGTGTGTGTGTATTATACCAGCCACGTCCGACCGAACGATTTGAATATAATCTTTGTCGTAGCAGATACGTCAATCGAAACTTTCTTATCTTATCGTACTTTTCACACGTGAGATGAATAACGACATCCACGTTGCACGCTGATTATGACAGAAATGTTAATAGCTATCTATTAAACATTATTTATACAGTGTTCTCTAAGCGAATAAATCAAATTTAATCGATAAATCTTTACACGCGATATAATAATTCCCATAGAAAATTTTCCGTTATGAGGATTTATTATTCGACATAATTAAATTTTGATAAATATAAAAATTATAAATGTCTACTATAATACATTTATAGATTATGGTCCAAAAAGAGAATTTTTTTAGACAATTTTATAATAAAATAAAAATGACTATAGATTTGTAATTGTCAATATCACGTTTGAACTAACTTTACATTCCCACCGTTAGCATATTTTTTTATTGTTTTTTTTTTTTTCTTTTTTAACGTAATCATAAATAACTTATTTATCAATATATATTTGCACGTAATTAAAAAAAAAAACTTTTTTATTAAATTATATTAATACTCGTTGGCGAATAAAAGTCGAGCTTTTTAAAAGTTCGAGAATTTCCAAGGTAAAAAGGAAAGAAAAAAAAACAAAGAAAGGATAAAGAGATTTTCCTCGCCTTCCATCCCTTATATATATTTTTTTCTTGTTCATCCTATTCTTTTATATATATATATATATTTTTTTTTTTATTCCTTCTCTACCTTATCAACCCTCGTGCGCGCACGTTGAAACGCAAAAAAAAAAAAAAACACGGTTGAAACGAGGAAAAAGGAGGAAGAAGTTGGCCGCCATTTTCACCATAAAAAATCCGCCAAGTTCGCGTTTCCGGCTCGGTCTCTTCTCAAGCCAGAGAGTGCCAGGAGAGGAAAAGCCTCCTCTCTTTTTCCGGAAAAGGAGGGTGGGTGGCTCCCTTTGGCTAAAGGAAAAAAGGGAAGGGGGTGCGAACCGACGGTAAAATATATTCCAGTCAACTTCCGCTGGAAATAAATAAGAGTCACGCCACACGCTCTTACTACACACACACAAACGTACACGTTTACGCGTTCATGCACCCACCATGCACATTTATACATTTACATATATATACGTATACTTCACGTACACTTCACCGACTATGGCAATCATTCGTGTGTGTGAGAGAGAGAGAGAGAGACCTTATCTTTCAATATTTTTTTATCCTTTTCTTTCTTCTTAAGTTTGACCCAACGAAAAGAACCCTTCGACCAACCCGAGATACACGGAAATCGGTACAAACTTTTTTATACCAAAGACTTCTTAATCTCCTTTTAATTACACCTCTCCCCTTCTGTCAACCATTACCCTCCACCCTCCTCCCCCTCAACACATAGATTCTACTTAATAACACTTTTTTCCCCTTCCTCTTCTTCTCGTGGAACTTTTTGTCTATATTCTAACTTGCCAATTGTTTCTTTTTCGACGATCGTTTATTTTCCAATTTCTAATTAAACTCGATGACTATTAATTATATTTAAGTGATTAGTTTAATTAGAGAAAGAACGAATGACGTGGAAAAAGCGAAGAATAATATAATATTTAATATTGTTATTCTGTTAATTTTCATGACAATTTAAATAAAACTTATGATGCACGCGTTTTTTTACGAATAATTATATTCGTTTTGATGCGACAACATTAAACTTTTTTTTGTTGTATAATTTTATATTTGTAATTTTTGTATAATCGATCGATAGTTAAATTACGTTAAGACGTCTCGAAATGTTTGAATTAAATAATTGTTCGTGTTTGATGATATTTTTTGCGAATGTTTCGAGAAATGATACTAATTTTATATCTATTTTCTTCTTTACAGGCGAGAAACCGTTCAAATGCGAATATACCGGATGCGAAAGGAGATTCGCTAACAGCAGTGATCGCAAGAAACACAGTCACGTTCATACTTCGGATAAACCTTACAATTGTCGAGTAACAGGATGCGACAAATCTTACACGCATCCAAGTTCGTTGCGCAAACATATGAAGGTAAGTTAAAATTCATATTATAATAAAAATTATTGAATTTAATTTTTAAAAATAATTTCGCTTATATTTTTTTTTAATTTTTGCGCATACCAAACGAACGTCGCTTATTAAAGCGACATTCTACTCTATCAAATTTATTTCAAATAATTTTGATTCGAAGAGAAAAATATTCGACAAGTTGAATTTATTAACACTCTGATGGTATCAATGTAGAACAAATCTTTTGTATTCCATGAATTCTAAACGTTGACTAAATCTTCTTTCATTTTACGTCTTAAAAAAAAGAAAAGAAAAAGAAAAAAAGAAATTAATTTTCGGACAACCTAAAATACACTGTAGAGGTAGTAACACAAGTTAGATATACACGAAAATTCGACGTGAGATTCATGCACGAGAGATTCGCGGGTATGTGAAGTATAACAAACAAACAAAAAATATATAGATAGATAGATAGATAGACGGATAGATAAAAAAGATAAAAAAGAGAGAGAGAGAGAGATAGAAAGACGACTCCCAAGATACGCTTAAACCTATTTTACTGTATACGCGCGTACGTGCGTGCGTGCGTGTGTGTTTGTTTGTCTGTTGGAAGAAATTTCACACACTTTCAAGTTCTCTTAACTTTCCTCGATCTGACCGAGGAGATTCGCGGAAGGCAGTCGACGAGATTTGCTCACTGAATTATGAAAGAAGGACGAGGGTGACGGATCCTCCCGGTTCTCGCCCGTTTTCGGCTTGATCCCTCAAACATCATCCCGCATCCCGCAACACACACACATCTCTTTCTCTTTTTCATCATCATCCTCCTTCCTTTCTTATCCTTTCCTTTCCTTCTTCTTCTTCTTGACCTTCCAAAGATATTCTCTTCTTCTCTCTATCTTGGATATCGAAACCCCGAAGGTCGTTTTTTCGACACCAAATTCCATTCCACCTTCTTTCTCGTTTTACGATTTATTTTTATCATTTAATTCTCTTCGCGATTGTTAAATTATAAAAATATATATTATTTTGATAATACACACATATTTTCAATCGACGAAACGTTATGCGTAAATGTTAATCGTTAACAAAAATTGCAATTCTTCTTCTTCTTCTTTCAATAAAATAATTAATATAATAATGAATGAACAAATTAAAGAAAAAAAATAGATAAATAACTCGAAAAATATATATTTGTAAGAAAAAAAAAAAAAGAACAGATTAAAAATAAAATTCTCGTTATTTGTGTTACAGGTGCATGGGATGACGATGGGGGAAGGTAAGACGGGTGGGGAGTACGAAAGTGAAGGTGAAGAGAGCAGCAGCAGCGGGGGTAGTTTGTCTGTGACCGGTAATACAGAATCACCCCAACCAGCATCGGTTGTCCCGACAACGACGACGTCTAACAACCCGCCTTCGAGTCACCCTGTAACTCGTGGAACCGAGTTGACGGAGTGGTACGTTTGCCAACCGCCAACCGTGGCTCCTCAACATAGTCCATTACCAGGTCCTCCGCCTCCTCATCATCTCGGCCATCATCACTTCAATCCTCTGATGCATCATCAAGCGACCGCCTACTAAAAACAACAACCAACGTCCAAAACAGCAAATCTATCTATTTCTACTTTAACTTCTAATTCTAACACTTACGACAACTATTTCCTATAACTTTTCAAATGCATCACTAAAAACAAATCAATAATCAATATCCAAACAGCAACAGTATCCTTTTTACTCCTACTATTACTATTATCATTTTTCTGATGTATCGTCTATTACTAACAAAAAAAAAAAACTTAAAAATCTTATTTCTACTTTTCCGCTTTTACTTCTGCTTCTATTTCTATACCAGTCCCCACTGTCATATCTGTTATTAATTATTCTTATACGTTAAATCTAAATCGATTGGTTTGTTACGATTTTCCTAAAAAGGAAATTCTTTTTCTGATCAATTTTGCTAGACCATTTTTTACATTTTTCTTCTAATGGGATAAATGATTTTTCTAAATATACCTAGTTTTAGGATATTTTATTCCAGTCTGTTAACTCTTATTACTATTATTATTACTACTATTACTAACTATAACTACTATTACTCGTTAACAAGAAATATCGCTGATCTTTCTCCGATACAGCGATATTTCGAATGCAACGTCGAACACGTTAAAACCATCCAGCAAGAAAAATGAATGTCAGTCTGTCTCATTGGATTCTTCGTATCTTTCCACTCAACGCGCCTCTTTGACGATGATCTTAGATGTTGGTTGATATGCTACTCGTTGTTCTTACTTTTATATTTTAGCTTTATATTCTACGATAGAAAATATTTTCATCATATTTTTTTATCGCAGATTCGAATTAATATAACAAAGTATAGATTTCTACAACGACATTTTATTATTTTTCATTCTTCTATCTATCGAATGCAAATGAAACAACGTGTGGAAAGATAGAACAATCTGAAAACAAAAACAAATTCTAATCTTTCAATCTTTCGTTAAATTTTTCTTTATTACATATATTTTATTTTATATTTTATTTTTTTTGTATAAACGTAAGCATTGCAATTGTCTTACAACAACAACAACAACAACAAAAACGAAATATTTTGCCATGCTAAGTGTCGTTGCTTAAATAATTTTACGAACGAAACGAAATTTCAATCATTTTTAATAAACTTGCCTATTCCCATTGTGTATTCCATTTTTTTTTTTGTTTAATACCTCCTTTTTATTATAACGACAAATTTATTTCGGAAATTAATTGTTTTTTTAAATCATAACTACAAAATATTAGATGGAATAATCTTATTAAACGAAATTGCAACGAAATTAAGATTATTAAATTCGAGGAAATGTGTTTTAAGTTTATTTATTATTTTTTTTTCTTTCTAATTTTGATAAGAGAAATTTTCAAAATCGTTGTTGCGTGTACTCGATTCTGAAATCCAATAAAGTAAAAGAAATATTTTCTTCTTTACTTTTTGATAAAAAAACAAATGTTCGAACGATTGTGTATGCGAATGAGAACAAAAACACACGTGAACACTAAATAACACATAAACAAATTTTTACGTCTCAAAAGAATGAAAGATAGAATTAAGGTATGGAACAGTCTTTATGTGATAAAGAATTTTGTAAAGGATGGAGAAAAAAAAGTGAGAGCATGAATACCAAAAAGAATACAAAACTAAACAAAAAACGCATAAATAAATAAATAAACGTTTACAAACGGGACAAAAATAATCACAGCGGTGATGTTCAAATTGTGAGTCTATCTAAACAAAAAAAAATTAAAAAAAAAAGAGAAAAAAAAGAAATAATAAAAAAAAAATTAAAAATACAAAGGGGAAGAAAGATCCTTCAAAAATGAAGAAAATCTTTTGAAAAATCAAAAAAAAAGTTAAAAAAATTTTAAAAAATTAGCATAGATTTACAAGTAAAAACAAAACAGATGTACAATTTCAGTCACTTTTGTGCCTAAAAGATAATTGAAAAGATTTGACTAACAAAGAAAAAGACGAAGTTGTTTTAAAGAGTACAAAGGCCACTTTTACTAACTCTCGGAAAAATAGCATATTTTTTTGTGAATTTTTTAAATAAAAATCTGATAAGTGCAACGCGAAATTTGTTCCCAGGTTATTTATTGTTAACACTTTCAAAGTTGTGACAAAGTCACAAAACTTCAACGAAAGTAACAAATATTCAAAAATAAACAATTTTTTCCGAGCAGTGAAATGACCTTATCTCTTAATAAATTAAAAATTAAAACACGTCACCCCTCCCCCCCCCCCTCCTGACCCATTCTTTACGTCAATCGAATTTGATATAAATAAATATGGGTTTTTGAAATTAGGAAAATAAATAAACAGTATGGGGATTATCGATCAAAAATCTCATTGATCTCTCAAAACACGCCCATTTATTTTCATTCCTTTCTAAAGAAAATAAAATGGGGAGAAGCGTAAAAACCAAGTAATATTTTCGTGCAAACGAAATCGGATGCATAAATAATTACAAACAAATTATCGTATATTGCGTGTGCGTCGATAAAATGACGAATGATATTGAAAAAAATATATAATAAGAAAATATTAATCTTATGATTAATTTATAACAACATAAGTCATTTTAATATAAAAATTATTTGATAAGATCGATCGATCGATCGATCGAATGAAATTTTAACGATAACGTTTATTAACGGACGCACACGCAGGTACATATTCACGCGTAAATATGTCTATATATAAAAATATAAATATATATGTATAAATATGTAGTATAAAATGGAAGTATTGTAAATAATTAGTTAAAATTGTATAAGGGTTACACGTAATAGATAGAAAGAAAGATTTAAACGTTTACAATTAAATAGTATAAAAGTAAATAAAAAGAGAAGGAAGAGAGGAAAAAAAATAATATATGCGAATGAATCGCGTATATGTGTTCAATCAATACACAATTATATTATACTACGGATTTATATTATGTGTGATATTATGTACATACGAACGAATACGGCAAAAACCATTAGCAATGAGGTATATCATAATCTATTATATATGAAACATTAGAGAGAAGCGATATAATAATAATTATTAATTATAAAATATTAATTTTT